GGGGGGGGGGGGGGGGTTTGGAAATGGTGGCTGTGACTTGAAATATGTCAGATGCACAAAGTAAACAGGAAAAACTGCAGATCTCCCTAACAACCTTTTAACTGTAGTCTTGTTTTACTTTGTTAACTGGATTTATAATATTTCAATTTTTAAAGCTAATAGAAGAATTCTATACTTTACCAGAATTTGAATCTTATCACTAGCAAAGGTAGATACCTTTCTAAGCTGCAAATTCTTTTAAAAGTATGGACAGCAAAGTTTTTAAAGGCATTTAAGTTCAGCATGCTAAAATTCTTATGCAGTAGCAGTAAAACTTTTAATCCAGCTATTTCTTTAAATTTTTCACCGTCATTTATGAAGTGTTTATACTGCACAGAGGCTGTTATTGCACACCTTAACATTTGTTAACTAACAGTTAGTGAAATGGCAAATCCTGCTTCATATAGTTATGGGAGCACTATTTGTATATGACTATATTTAATCTGATGTTTTAGCCTTTTGTTTGTGAATACTCTGAATTTTTAGCCTTTTATCTGTGCTCAATCTGATTCAATTATCCTAATATACTGCCTTGTATGGGGAAGTTCTTAAGGCTTGAAACTTCTTTGGTTTTAGAAATAAATACAGCTTGTCTGAAATGGATTCAAGTTCTTTAAATGTGCCCCCAGCTTATTACAGGTCCCCTGAAGAAAAGAGCTAAAAGTAGTATATTAGAGTATTTCTTACTTATTTTTAATAGAATATGCCCAGCTCTTTGCAGCACTGATTGCTCGTACCGCTAAGGATATAGAAGTTTTGATAGATTCGTTACCTAGTGAAGAATCAACAGCAGCTTTGCAGGTAAGAAAGTTAAAATCCAAAATACTGAAACACTGCAAAAATGCTTCTTAATTGCATTAAATCACATCTCAAAAGCGTAAATAATGTAAAAGATGTAATCTTGCATATTGTTTAAAATTAACTTCAGCTCTTCAAAAGAGAACCTGTAAATCTCAGGCAATATACTGAAAAGATGACACTGTGTAGGTGAACTTGGAACAGGGTGGGCAGACTTGCATCCAGGACCATTAAGATATGTAAAACTTGCCTTGCCTTTCTTACAATGCCAAAGACACTGTTCTTACCACCTAAAATTACTTTAGGAAGTTACCTGGCATTTTCAATTGTTGACAGTTTGTCTATTTTTATCTTTAAATATGCCAAAAAATTGTGTATCAACTTGCCCTCTTGGAGCAGGTTGTACTTAATCCCAGCAAGAGCAAAACACTTCAGTATTGCTCTTTTTAAGCCTTTGTTTTTTACATGGCCCCTTTTGTGTATCTAGACCCTGGCTTTCTAAAGGGTTACAGTGTGTCTGCTCCAGCTGTATCACAAAGCAGTCTTCTGCTTTCTTGCTGCACCAGCAAACTTTCCTTAGGTTCAGAACAAATTTGTCCTGCTGGTCCTTCCTTTTTTATTTTATTTTAAGGACATAAGTGCTGTAGATAGACTTGTGTGCCTTCTGCTTGGGTCCCTTTTCATATGCCTTATTTTATTTGTTTTTTAATACAAAAATGGGTATTAGCTCTACATGCTACTTTCTAAGACTTCATTCTAAGATGAGGTAAATACAAGAACTGAAACTAGAAATTTTTAAGCAGGCTGCTTTTCTGCAAAATGCAGTGAATATTTGTGAATTACAGAAGGCATCTAAACCTGGCAATGTATGAAGAGTTGAACAGAAACTGTCATAAGTATTGTGAAGTGTTACTTGGCTAGCAGTCTAGAAATAGTAATTGCCACATCTTTTGCTGTATTAAATGCAGTAGTATAGTTTCAATCAGCAGAGCAAGCATACTAAAGATCTTTCCCTGTTCTATAGTTAAACCACACCTGGTTGTAGTGACAGCTTGCATTAGAAAGCCAAGGTGTTGCAGAGACTGCGGGGGGGGGGGG